AAAAAAAAAAAAAAGAATGGTGTCACATTTTCACTTACCAAGAAAAACCAAACCCACTGCTGTGGAGTCGATTCCAACCCTACTACAGCACAGAGCAGAACTGCCCCATGGGGTTTCCAAGGCTGTAACCTAAGGCATTTGACTGCTAACCAGAAGGTTGGTGGTTCAAACCTACCAGCTGCTCCATGGAAGGAAGACTGGGCAATCTACTTCCATAAAGATTTACCTCCTCAGAAACCCAAAGGGGGTCACTATGAGTTAGAATCAACTCAATACCAATCAGGTTGGTTTTTGCAATCTTTACGGAAGCAGACTCTACATCCTTCTCCTGTGGAGTGGCTGGTGGGCTCGAATCACCGACCTTTTGGTTAGCAGCTGAGCACTTAACCCCTGTACTACAAGGGGTCCTTCCTATTTTCACTTAAAATAAAACAAAGGCAAATTTCTAGAAATTAGATTAGAAAAAGCAAATATATAGCCACTGGGTAGAAATTACATGTTAGCCAGCATCAAACTTGGGAAAAAGCCATCCATTCTAATAATTTATCAAAAGTTAACCCCAATACCTGTTTGCCATCCCTCATATGAAATACTTTTTTCTGACCCTGATTCCTAGCCTAACAAGCCACTTTCTAATCTTTACGTAGGTTTCACAGGTATTTCCAGCTTGGGAAGGAGGCCTGGATGGGCGACACACATATTGGAATCGCTGGAATAGACTGCACCTCACTGTAAATTAAACTAGTAGCCTGGCTTACAGTGCCTACGAGGACCGAGTCCGGCAGTCCTGGAACAGCAAGGCTGTTCACAGATGCTGATCCTGAGGTAGTCCAGGGCTCTTGAGAGACCCCTTTACCACCTAACTACTACTGTAGTAACCCTGACACAGTTTGTAAAAGTAGAACATAGCCCCTCCAAATCCCATTTGAACATAATTAGATAAAAAATTTGCATATAAAAATAACTTTTCTTTTAAATAAAAATCTCTATAAAAATAGTGTAATCTCCATAATTGAATGAATTACTGTATTTCACTCACTCTAAGACACTGATTTTAAAACATCCCATTATTTTATGCCCTTCTATGGGGAAAAAAAAACAAACTTGTCAATTAAACTTTGTCCCAACGTTATGTGACCTTTGATTATAACATCCTGATTTCAGAGATATTAAAAATGTAAAAAAAAAAAAAGGTACATCTTAGAATTGATGAAATACAGTATTGAAAAATGTATTCTTTAGATAATTATTCAGATAAAGTATTAACTATTCAGTCTGTTAAATTCACATGTGTTCATAATCACAGTACACTCCTAAAGCTATTTATCATTTGTGTTTCACGTCTCATTTGAAATGAAGCATGGGACAGCACTTAACATTAATTTCTTCCAAATATCTTCCACCAACTTTAAAACTCTGTGTCCTCACTCTGGAAATCATTTCATTTTCATCTTCAGGATCACAGAGTTTTGGATCAGATGAGATAAACAAGGCCTAAGTAAATTAAGTGACTTCGTGCAGAGTCAGAAAGCTAGGAAACCACAGTCAAGGCTTGAAGCCAGGCCTCTTGGGCCCTGTTCTGTGTTCTCTTCACAAAAATCAGAATGAAATGAGTGGTTACCACTGGTAGTCCAATCCTACAAATAGGGTAAAACAATTGATAAAAACCACTGCCTACTTCCAATTTTTTTTTTTTTAAATGAAGTAACTATCTTCAACATCCCTGGAAGAATACTGATGCCAGATAATTTGTTTAATTAATCAATTCAACTCCTAGATTATTCCATTCTATTAGCACTTTACCCAGCTTCTAAAAAGAACAATGTTTTCCTCTGCATGCTCTGAGGGCTGAAACCCATAAAATGTTACCTGATCAGCCACATGCCAAACACTAGCCTCATAACAAGATCCTACTGTATGAGATCATCTAGGTCTTTATAGAAAACTGGAAATCACAGAACATTTTAAAACTTTTTAGCATTTGCTACAATCTGACCTCAAAATGTTGATCCCCAAAAGCATGCAGAAAACCTGCTAATGCTCTGCTCTTTAGAAACAGCAAACACTCAAGGAAGTCAGTAAGCAATCCGTCTTGTTCTCTATGCATTAGTCCTTTTTTTCCTGGTTTCTGGCAAGATGAGTGACAGAGTAGTTGCCACTACTAACTAGAGAGGATTCAAAGAGTAATGCCTTTGAGAGTGACTGGTCGGACACTTCAGATGTGGGCTCCACCAGAATATCTCTAGAGGTCTCTATTACAGAATTTCTCATTGTATCATTCATTTCAATCACTTCGAAGTCCATCTCATTCCATTTTTCTGCATCCTCCTCGTCATCCTCCTCGTAGTCATTCAGGCCAGAGCTGGAGAGCAAAGCTTTCTGGTCCTCAGTCTTTCTGCTTTCTTTTTGCTGACGATGGAGAGGTGAGGTGGCCAATTTATACAGTATAGGAAATAAAACAGCAGTCGCCATTGCCGACCCCAAAGAGGTATACAGAACGACAGGTAAACGAGGGTATTTTCCTTGAAGGATTCCAATTACTGCAGGAATGGCCATTTCTCCCAGGGCTGCGCCGACCACAAAAAGTGCTGCAGATTTCCCATTGATGGTTGTGTACTGCTCAATCCAAGAAATACCACTGGGAAATGTGGTCGCCATGGAGGCCCCATACACTGAAGTTGCTATCCAGAGACAAACTGGGCTCTTGTCAAAAAGTACCAGCAATAAAGATGAAGCCAAGCTGCCAATGTTGCTAAACACAATCATGGTTCCAGGTTGCAAACATGTCGCAAAAAAGATTGCCAGGCCCCTGCAGGCTGCAAAAGCCCCCCAGAAGATGGAGTTCAGCCCAGCCGCTTCACTTTCTTTCATGCCAACATGAGTGGTTGCAAATGAGAAAACGTAAGAACCATAGGTTACCTCAGCTCCAACATAAAAAAAGAAGAACAGAAAAAGGAGACAAAGAAGGGCTTTGTGATATTTAGCTTTCCGAAAGCTCTGAGCTGATGCTTCTGCTCTGTCACGTCTTGAACTTTTCTTTAAAAACAGAGCAAAAAGAAATAAACACACTATGAAAATATAAGTCCCAATAAGAACATAAGCCCACAGTAAATTCATGTTGTCAGGTACTCCAAATATAGATTCTGAGTCAGCTTCAGACGATTTGTTGAGAGGATAGTGGGTATGAAAGTCGGCCCCTGTGTAATTCTCAGCAGATACAGTCGTTCCTAATGCCAATTTAGCCAGCAGTGGAGCCAAAAATGCACCCAAGGCAAAACTGAAGTGTAAGGCCTGCATATGTGGGGCTCCTTTGTCCCCCCATATAGCCAAGATAAGGACGTTACCACCTACCAATGAAAGACAGAAAAAAATATTTAAATTCATTACCCTAAAATAAGGATAGTGCATTACTATCGGAAAAATTACTATTTTACATGGCACAAGGATTATAATATTCTAAGTTAATCAAACACTGCAACTAAGTCAATTCTATCATTAAAGAATTCTAACGTACCACCTCCAGAGAACTTGAAAGCACTGTAACATGACACACACACACACACGGAATTCTACACGTTAGTAAGCCAATACCTCCTACAGCCAGGCACTGTAGCTAAAAACTTCACATAATACAGTTCTAATATCAAGCTGAGGGGAGCAGAATACTTATATATGTAATACATATTTTATTTTTAATAAATGTTTTAAAAATTATGTTTATCTAGATAAAACACAAAATTTTATCATCACATAGTGGCTAATTACCAAAGCTTTCTGTACTTGCAATTGGTAGCCACTTCAGAAAAATTATTTATGAATATAGCAGATGCAAAACCTCAGTTGAGGAAACTGAACACTACAGGATTCTGGTGCGCCCTCCACGGGCACAAGGACCCCGTCCAGTGTTTGCCCCTGCACTGTCTGACACCTACAAGGGGAAAGGCAACAAGAATCAAGTCTTGGGCAGCCTTTTTGTTTGTGTTTAACAGATTTCAAGATAAACAACTCAACCCTGTTACTTTCACTACCAAAGTTTAAGTACAATTCTCTGAACCATCAAGTAACAGTAGAGCAGGGAAGAAGGACAGAGCTGGTTTTAGGGATGGTTGTGGATTTTTCTCTCACAAAAACGTGTTGAAATCCTAACTCTGTGTGGAAAACGGGGTGTTCTTTTGTTATATTATGTCACACTAGTGTAGGGTGTGTCCTAAACTCACTCACTTCTGGGTTAGAAATAGAGATTAGACACAGAGAGGGGAAGACAGAAGACATGCAAGGACCGTCTGAGAGCAAAGGCCCAGCAAGGAACACCGGAGGACACCAAAAGTAGGAGGGAGGCTCACAGAAGGGGTCAAGACCAGAAACCTGATTTGGTCTTCTGACCTTCAGAACTGTGACAAACACGTTTCTGGGTTTTCACGACATCCACTTGTGGTACTTCTGCTGCAGCAGCACTAGGAAACTAAGGCACACCAGCTGCCATCAAGTCATTCCAGCTCAGGACGATCCATGAGGTTTGCACAGTGGCTGCCAGGTCTTTTATCCAAGACACCTCTGGGTGGACTCAAACCTTCAGCCTCTCAGTTAGCAGCCAAGCATATTAACCATTTACACCCAGGGACTGAGATAACTGAGATAGGGGTGAACAAACGTCCCATATGTTATTCAGTAGGTTTAAAAGATATCAGGATACATGGGAGGAGCTTCTACAGGAGCATAGGAATTTTTACAAGGACAGAAAAAAAGAGAAAGGACAACAGCGTGGGTTTTTCTTAGCATGACAGTCAGGATGCATTTTAAACTGGATAGCTGTTTCCATGCTTCCTCAACCAAACGAAGGTTCTAAACTTGGTCTAACTTATTACACTATTACTTATTATTAATACTTATTATTAATTCCTCCCTTACTTCAACGATTAAGTTCTATCCTAAAATAAAAGCCCTCATTTGCACTGTAATTGTCCACATGGGAGCCCTTCCCTATGTGGACACTACAAATCAACCATCTCTCATAGAACAAGATTCTTTGAGTTCACTCCATGGTTGGCCAATCAGTAACAGCCTCCCTGCCTGGTGTGAGGAATCCCCGGGTGGTGCAAATGGGTAACATGCTCAGCTGTGAACTGAAAGGGTGGAGGTTCAAGTTCTCCCAGATGGGCCTCAGAGGAAAGGCCTGGTGATCTAATTTTGAAAATTCAGCCACTGAAAACCAAACGGACCACATTCTCCCATGACACATACAGGGTTGCCATGACTCTAGGGCAACTGGTAGGTAACCTGGCAAGAAAGGTGGTTCTGGCTGGGCTAGCCCATGACCAAGTCAGTAGTAGGTCAGTGTCATTTTAGGTAGTATTCCAGATGACAGCTTAAAATCTGCTCTACTTCTACTTCCTAATAGAAAATCCCTCCTACCAGAGATGACATTGAAGGACTTACTAACCTGTATCTAGTATGCCAATCGAAGTACCAAAGACGGACATCATAACAATCAGTAGTACGGCTTTCTTGCAAAAAGGAACAAGATAAAGACCAACTGTGGTAGCCAACATTGACATTCCTGAGAGGAAAAGTAAAAGTAAGCTATAAAAAGTAACACTGATGCAAAGAGTCATGGATAAATTCAACATTATAGAAGCTTTGAAAAATGTTAAATAACATCACATTAAAATTGACTAAATAAGAGGTTCAGCTTCTATTCTTGTTAGTACCAGTGAGTCAGTTTCAACTCATAGCAACCCTGTGAACAAAAGAACAAAACAAAACCTGGTCCGAGCTATCCTCACTATCACTGCCATACTTGAGTCCAATGGCATAGCCACTCTGTCAGTACGTCTTGTTAAGGGTCTTTCCTTATTTATTTATATTTTTGCAGTGTTCCCTCCCTTCAAGAGTCTTTCTCTTTTTTATTGGCCCTCTATTTCACCGAGGGGAGCTCTGGTAGCATAGTGGCTAAGGCACTTGACTGCTAACCACAACAACAACAACAACATTTCATCCAGTATAATAACATCCTTCTATAAGGGACTAGTCCCTTCTAACAACACGACCGAAGCGTGAGAGTCGTAGTCTGGCCATTCTCGCTTCTAAGGAGCATTCCAGTTGTACTTCCTCTAAGACAGATTTGTTCATTCCTCTAGCAGTCCAGGGTGCATTAAACATTCTTCCCACAGAAATACCATTTGATCCAGCAATCCCATTACTAGGTATATATCCTAAAGAAGTGAGAAGCGGGATACGAACAGACATACACACACCCAGGTTCATCGCAGCACTATTCACAATAGCAAAGAGATGGAAACAACCTAAGTGCCCATCAAGCAAGGAATGGATAAACAAACTGTGGTACACACACAATGGAATGCTATGCAACCCTAAAGAATAATGTAAAATCTGCAAAATACCACATAATGTGGATTAACTTAGGGGACATTATGCTGAATGAAATGAGTCAATCACAGAAGGATAAATATTTTATTAGTCCACTACTATAAAAAGTCAAGGAAAGGTTTATATATAGAAGGAAACTTTGTTGGTTACCAGGGATAGAAGGGGAGGGGAGGCTAAATTCCTAGATAGGTTGGGAAAAAAATGTATGTATATGTATATACACAAATATACCAAAGATTATTAGTGGTTACCAGGGGTGGGGGTGGGGGGGAAAGTAGAAACTTTTGTTTGTAGGGCATTAAGTTTATGCTAATGGTGGTGGAATATTTTGGAAAAGTACAGCAGTAATGGTGACACAACATGAAAAATGTCATAAATGTCCCTCAGCTGTAAACAGGGAAGTTGTTATATTAGCAAAAGTCTTGTTGTATATGTTTTCACCACAATAAAACTTCCCCAACACCATAATACAAATGCATCAATTCTCCTGCAGTCTTCCTTATTCACTGTCCAGTTCTCACATGCACATGAGGCTACAGAAAAAGTAATGGCTTAGGTCAGGTGTCTTCAAAGTGACATCTTTGCTCTTTAACACTTTAAAGAGGCTTTTTGCAGCAAATGTGCTTATTGCAATACATCATTTGATTCCATGACTGCAGATTCCATAGGTGTTGTGTAAAATGAAATCCCTGACAACTTCAGTCTTTTCTCTATTTATTATGATGTTACTTACTGGCCCAGTTGTAAGGATTTTTGTTTTCTTTATGTTGAGGGGCAATCCATACTGAAGACCGTAGTCTTAGATCTTCACCAGGCAATGCTTCAAGTCTTCTTCACTTTCATACACTGTGTCATGTATGTATCACAGGTTACTTATGAGTCTTCCTCCAATCCCGATGCTGCATTCTTCTTACCACAGTCCAGCTTCTTGGATTATTTGTTCAGCATACAGATGAAATAAGTATGGTGAAAAGATACAACCCCGGTGCACACCCTTCCTGATTTTAAACCATCTTCTGTTTGAAAAACAGCCTCCTGGTCTGTGTACAAGTTCCTTATGAGTACAATTACATGTTCTGGAATTACCATTCTTCTCAATGTTATCCATAATTTGTTATGGTATCTTTGCATGGTCAATAAAACACAGGTAAATATCTTTCTAGTATTCTTTGCTTTCAGTCAAGATCCATATCAACAATGATATCCTTCTTTCTATGTTCTCTTCTGAATCTGGCTTGAATTTCTGGCAATTCCCTGATGACATACTTCTGCAATTGTTTTTAAAATATCTTCAGTAAAATTTTACTTGTGTGATATTAATGATACTGTTCGATAATTTGCATATTCTATTGATCACTTTTCTTTGGAATGGGCACAAATATAGATCTCTTCCAGTCAGTTGGCCAGGCAGCTGTCTTCCAATTTTCTTGGCATAAACAAGCGAGTGCCTCTAGCACTGAATCCATCTGTTGAAACATCTCAATGAGTATTCCATCAGTTTCTGGAGACTTGTTTCTCACCAATTCCTTCAGGATAGCGTGGTCCTCCTTCAGTGCCATCAGTTCTTGATCATACGCTACCTCCTGAAATGGATGAACATCAACCAATTCTTTTTGGCACAGTGACTCTGTGCATTTCTTCCATCTTCTTTTGATATTTCCTGCTTTGGTCAATATTTTGCCTATCAATATACCATAACTTGAGGCTTGAATTTTTTCTTCGATTCTTTTAGCTTGAGAAATGCTGCATGTGTGTTCTTCCCCTTTGGTTTTTCAACCCCAGGTCTGTGTACATTTCATTATAATACTTTACTTTGTCCTCTCAAGCTGCCCTTCAAGTTTTTCTGTTTGTCACTTTTACTTCATTTCCTTCATTTGCTTTAGCTACTTTCCATTGAAGAGCAAGTTTTAGTCTCTTCTGACATCCATGATGGTTTACTCTTCCTTTCCTGTCTTTTTAATGAACTTTTGCTTTCTTCATGTATGATGTCCTTGATGTGATCCCACAACTCATCTGGTCTTCAGTCACTGGTGTTCAATGAGTCAAATCTATTCTTTAGATGGTCTTCATGTGGGATAGATGCAAGGTCGTAGGTTTGGCTCTCGTGGACTTGTTTCAATTTTCTTGAGCTTCAATTTAAAGTTGCATAAGAGCAATTGATGGTCTTTTCTCATAACTCAAAAGGAAAAGTACAGACCAATATCCCTCATAAATACAGATGCAAAAACCTTCAACAAAATCCTAGCCAATAGACTGCAACAACATATCAAGAAAATCATTCAT